CCAGATCAAGAGATCAAAATTTGGAAAATTTAGGTACTTTCCCAACATAAAAAGATGGTTGACTCCAAAGCTCAGGTTTAATGATTAAGTGAATTAACTAGTAGAAATATCCCCATAATCATATTTAGTATAGGTTGTATTGTTTTTATGTCTTTAATAATTTGGTTCCTTCTTTCTCACTAGAATTTAAGCTCACTGGGGAATTGGGGACTTGTTAACATACTTTTTTGTGTATATAACCATAAAACTTGGCTTTAGAAATGGGACTACATACATATATATGGAATGCATGAATGATTGGGCAAAAATCAATGTGTATTCTTTTTTCTAAGCCTCATATGTAGAATTCAATTAAGCCTTAAATATCATCTGTCCCTTCAAAGTGTTATAAATTTGAAAGGAAGAAACAGCTAGGGTGGAAGCATGGGCAGTAGGGTGGGAAGTATCTCTATGCTCCTAAATCTGTACATATAAAGTACATGAAATTTGGACACCTTAAAAATAAAGTAATTAAAAATTTTAATAAAAGACAAAAAATTTTAACTTTCAGGCTTTGTCATTGTATCAGTTTACTTCAACATTGACATTAGACACTATATATTCTAATAGTCTATATATAAATCAATATGATTAGATTCTATAATTTATATTTTTCAATTTTTCTGTTGAATCATTTTATATTGTCATAAAGTGTAGCATATAACATATTTTTATAAAATATTCTGCTGAATTAATGTAGTCATACTTCATTTAGGTATTTCCATAATACTTGGAAAATATTTTAATGTAAATATTTTATATAAGTTTTTTCGTCAGAAAAAAAACCTCTCAAAATCATGTACTTAAACACAAAGTCTGTGAATATTTCATAAAATTTATGAAAAATACAACCAGATAGCTTTCAAAGTTGATTTTCTAAATTTTGTTGACCTCAGAAAATATATATACTTTTAGGTACATTTGTCAAAACAATATTATTGACATTTAGAAAAAAAAGAAATAACTTAAAAATGATACCTAATATTTGTGTTTATTATTTAATAGTAGTGATGTGGAAGATCTTCAAACTGCTTATTACACATTTAAGTTCCACTCAGCAAAGTGAAGAGGCAAGCAACAGAATGGGAGAAAATATTTGCAAACTATACCACTGATAAAGTATTAATATTCACAATCTATAAAGATCATAAGAAACTCAGCAACAGCAAAATAATCCAGTTAAAAAATGGCCAAAGGACTTGAACAGGCATTTTTCAAGAGAGGAATTTCAAATGGCCAACAGACACATGAAGAAATGCTCAAGATCACTAGCCATCAGGGAAATGCAAATCAAAACCACAATGAAGTTTCACCTCACCTCAGTTAGATTGGTTCTCATATAGAAATCAACGAATAAATGCTGGCAAGAATGAGGGGAACAATCTAACTCTGCCTGTCCAAAAAAAAAAAAAAAAATAGAATGAGGGGAACAAGATACTGTAATCCACTGTTGATGAGAATCTAAACTAGTGCAGCCATTGTGGAAGGCAGTATGGAGATATCTCAGAGAGCTGAAAGTAGATCTGCCATAGGACCCAGCAATCCTGCTCCTGCGAGTTTACCCAAGTGAAAAGAAATCAGCATATTAAAGAGTTATCTATACTCCATGTTATTATAGCTCAATTCACAATAGCTAAGATATGGAATCAACTCAGATATCCTTCAACTGAGGACTGGATAAAGAATGTGGTGCATATACACAATCTTAAAAAAGATTGAAATCTTGTCTTGCAACAAAATGGATGCAACTAGAAACTATTATACTTAGTGAAATAAACCAGTCCCAAAAAGACAAAGACCACATGTTTTCTCTTACCTATGGTAATTAATAGAGTACCAAAAATGTAATACAGAGAAGTAAAGTTGACATCTCTATGCTCAAGGAATAGTGCTTTTTCTTATTATTTGTTGAACCCTTAGTGTAGAGTTACTCTTATGAGTATAAAGTAAACTATAAGTGGATCATTGTAAAAATTAAGATATGGAATAAGAGTGGAAGAAGGAGAAATTGTAGGAATGTGGGCAGGTGGGAGGATAGGATGCAAAATATCACTATGTTCCTAAATATTTTATATATGAATTACAATAAATTTACTTTCAATAAAATAATTTTTAAAAATTCCTTTAGAACATAAACTTTTAGACAAAAGTAAACATTTCCACACTGTACACAACCAGCTACTTTTGCTACAGAAATGACTTTGAATCAGCTCTCTTCCATAATAGTCTCATTCAAAATATTAAAGTAAAATATTTGGTATTAAATATGTTATCAGAATCCAGCTACTAGTAGTCAGAAATTCTGATGAATGGTTAATTACCTTAGTTTTACAGCTTTGGGTATTTATTTAGAAATCTTTTGTGTGAATTAACACTCATTACAGTTCATTTCAACATGTAAATTGTCACTGTTTGCATAAAAATATAGGTCTTAGAAATACTAATTTTATAAAACAGTAAAATATATGTAATATTTTTCAAATATAATACTTTGCCATTGTTAGCTGGTGTTTTAAATTAGTCCTAAGCTAGAACTAATATAATTAATAATTCATTTACAGTTATCTGTGTATCACCAGGGATCCAGGTAACTGAATTTAATATTTATAGTTATTGAAGCAGTATTGAAGCAATGGAGGGAAGGCCTGAGAGAGAGAGCACTGGCAAAATAACTTATGACCCTGGCAATGCCACTAACCAGCTAAAAGGATTTAGATTTTTCTTGGCTAAAATTTTGAACGAAGCTTTCTTCCCTTTTGTATTTCACAAAGTTGTACAGTGTCTGCACTATGGTACCACCTCAGAAAACCTCTGTAACCTTTTCATGGCTAAAGTATTAGTAGAAGACTTAAAAACTATGAATTTCAAAGCTTTCTACTAGTAAAATGTCAGGTAGCAGGTAGTAGGGTTTATGTACTTGAAGACAAATCACAAAAAATGGGAAAATCATATCCTAAAAAGTATGACCATATGTTGAACTGACCAAAAAAATGAAAAATACTGTTGTTTGGGATTAAAGGAAATCTTGAACCCAGCCTGGTATATGATTCAATACCAAGGCTGGTCTTAGACTTAAGAGCATTTTCTAAATGATGAACTCAAATTTTGTTTCTCAAGAGTTTGAGGGACACAGGATAGAAGATAAAACCCTAGTCTTTACAGTAGTGTGACTATTAGGAAAATATAACTGTAAAATGTATTATCCTAATAAGCCTCATGCTATCCTCAATGTTCTGCTGTATAGGAAACAGCCATCCTTTCTACTCCCACATACAAATAATGAACTACTTGAATCTTGGTGTTATGCAGCAAAAGGACTTGAAAATGTATAACAAGAAGTAGATCTTCATAGATATGTCTATTTAGAGTATCTGAAAATATACGTATCTGAAGACACTGAGAGATTATGCTGTAGTGATCTCAAACTGAGAAGTGTCTTCAATCACTTGGCAGGAAAAATATAAATCCTCTCTAGAGAAACATAATTTACCCTGCGCCTGGTGGGAAATGTGCAATTTTCAGTCAAAACTCAAGAAGTGCATATGGGGAACAGACTAAATTTATTCATTAATTTATTCAATAAAAAAGCTATTGAAGATGCAATATGTATAAGGCATTTAGCAATAAGCAGAATAACGGAAAAACACTTGCCCTTCTAGATCTTACAGTCTAGTGGGAAAAAAAAAAGAATATAAACAATAGGGGCCAACATTGTGGTACAGTAGGTTAAGTCAGCACCTGTGACATTGACATCCCAGATGTATGCTAGTTCAAATCCCAGATGTTCAATATATGATCCAGCTCTGTGCTAATGTGCCTGGGAAAGCAGCAGAGGAAGGCCTAAGTGCTAGGGCCCCTGCACGCACGTGAGAACAGATGGAGCTTCTGGTTCCTGGCTTTGGCCTGGGAGAGACCCGGCTGTTGTGGCCATTTGGGTAGTGAACCAGCGGAAGGAAGATTCTCTCTCTCTCTCTCTTACTCTGCCTTTCAAATAACTAAAGAAATCTTTAAAAAAGAACACAAACAACAAGGTAATTAACATATAAAACATGTTAAATGGCAGTAAATTATAAGAGTATAAATAACAATGTACATATACTCATATATACAGAATAATATCACAAGGAGAAGTGGTTTCACACCATACAAATTGGCTGACTGAAAATCCCAAATGTTGCAAAGGATTTAGTACAACAGAAATACTTGTCCACTGTATTACTTTTCCATTGTTGTGATAACAAATTATTACACTCTTAAAATGACAGCAAGTTAGTATTGCATTAGGAGTCTAACGTTGGTCTCAGTAACCTGAAATTTAAACATTGAAAGGGATTCTTTCCTTTAAGATGTCACGAGGAAGAATGTAATTCCTCATGTTTTTTCAGCTGCTAGAGTTGCCTGAATCCTTGGCATGCGGCCCTTATTGTTACCTATACAACTAGAAGCTTTAGGTCACATACGTTTTACATCGAATCACTCTACATTATACTTCTTCTTTCTTCCTCTTAAGGACCCTTGTTTATTGAACTCACTGGATAATCCAGGATACTCTCCAGATCTCAAGGTCTTTACCTTACATTTGTAAGATATTTTTGCCACATAGAGTAACAGGGATGAACATGCAGACCTCTTTGGTGGACCATTATTTTGCCCATCATGCTCATATGACACTGGTGGAACTTTTAATTAGAAAATAAATTAAAAATAATTTGGTATTACTTAGAAAGAGTTCAACATGCTCATATCCTAAGACATTTTACCCCCTCGAATGTAAAATGGTTAAATATATTGTGAAATATTTTACAACTGAATATAATATTACAGTGAATGAGCCATATTGGAACCTTACCTTGTTAGAATCTGGAGTACTTTTTTTGTGGAGGGAGAAAGAACATTAAACCGTCCATTGTTTTTAGACTTTTTTTAAAGATTTTATTTATTTCTTTGAGAGGTAGACTTACAGAGAAAGGGAGTGACAGAGAGAAAGGTCTTCCTTCTGTTGGTTCACTCCCCAAATGGCCGCAATGGCCGGAGCTGCGCTGATCCGAAGCCAGGAGCCAGGAGCTTCTTCCTGGTCTCCCACGCTGGAGCAGGGGCCCAAGGACATGAGCCATCTTCTACTGCTTACCCAGGCCACAGCAGAGAGCTGGATCTGAAGTGGAGCAGAAGAGGAGCAGTCGGGACTAGAACCGGTGCCCATATGGGATGCCAGCACTGCAGGCAGAGGATTAACCTACTGTGTCATAGCGCCAGCCCCAAAACTGTCCATTACTAAGACATGCACATTTCCATCCCTTATTCCTTACATCTATACAATGATTTTGGATAATTACATGTCACCATAATTGAAAAGAATTCACAATGGATGATAAGACAAAAATACGAATGATGGTTCAAAGACAGGCTAATGTACATGCACATTTAAGGCAGATTTTGCTGAGTTGATCTGAAGAATGATGAATTGACTGTAGTGAGGCAAGAAGAAATGAGGAAAGAAATTCATATGATTTATTGATGTCCCCATTTGGTGCTCACCATTCTCTGTTTCATATGTGCTCTGTTAGACTGGCTGGCATAGATTCCCTTGTGTTTGGACTTCCATTGAATTTAGCTAACAGTGATACCAGTAGGAAATCGGACTTAGCGTGCTGTACATTGAGATTTAATGCTATAACTAGTACTCAAACAGTATTTTTGACTTTATGTTTCTGTGTGGGAGCAAACTGTTGAAATCTTTACTTAATGTATGCTAAACTGATCTTCTGTATATAAAGAGAATCGAAAATAAATCTTGATGTGAATGGAAGGGGAGAGGGAATGGATAAGGGGAGGGTTGCGGGTGGGAGGGACGTTATGAGGGGGAAGCCATTGTACTCCATAAGCTGTACTTTGGAAATTTATATTCATCAAATAAAAGTTAAAAAAAAATTTCTTAAATCAAAAAAAAAAAAAAAGTAGGAGAGAGAGGTAGGATATTTGCAATTTCCTGATGGCATTTCTTGTGCTGGCTTTTTCCTACAAAGGAAGGCCAAAGTGCCTATCAGTTGGCTTCTCTCTCCAGGCCTGGAGCGGTATAGCCCTCCCCTTGTCCCTATACCTGAAGTAAAGCTCCATTCCTTTTTATTTTTCCTAAGCCCTGGCCACACCTTTGCAAATCATATCTTCAATTCAGTTGAGAATACCATCTCTTTCCTGCTCAAGTCCTGACTGTTGCAGACTGTGGACTTGACCAGTTGGTAAAGTAGGAGAGATGGGGACAGAGGTGGAGATGAAGAGAGATTTTATTCCCAGATATATTTTGTACACAATCTAAGAGACTTGATGACAAATTGAATGTTGAGTCCTAGGGAGAAAGGGACAAATGATGACTCCTTGGCGTTGGCATCAAGTGTGTAGATGAAAGCACCATTAAGAGAGATAGAAAACAGTAGAGAAGAAGCAGATAGAAAGCTGGTGATGGGCATGAGAGAAATCAAGTTTTATTTCAAGCATATTACATTTGAAACTGTTTAGCTTTCTGCTTTCTGCTCTTGTCTTCAGAATGTGAAGTTTTAAAGATGCTAAAGAACAGGCAGTGACCCAGACCTGCAGGGATGGACACTGAGCAATATTTTTTATGGTGAATATCAGTTTTGAGGTTGGTGTGGAGCTTAGAGGTAAGGTCTAGATTGCAGATAAACATTCTGGCAGTATTAGTTTATAGATGACATGTAGCTCATAGAATTGTGAAAGATCACCTATGACAGAGCATGCATTTACTACTACAACACAACCATTGTCTTGGTGTGTTTCATTTTTTAATTTAAAGTTTTCTTGGGTATTCTTATTTCATATACCAAAAATTAGAGATGTCAGAACTACAGATCTCTGTTTACATTGACAGTGTGTTAGATTATTCCTTTTTGTTTAATTCTCTCTTAACTCTCCTACAATTATTATGAATAGTCTTTCTTCCAGAGCTCTTGCCTACCTGAGCTCTCCAATGTTATGGGAGCCACTCTATTCTTCCACAGTTTCTTTGCATATGCTTTACCTTTTATCCTTTTGTTGCTATGAAAATATTTTCTTCTCCCTGTTGGCGCCTATCCTTAGTACACCACATAGCATGCAATGTTCCTGTAACTGAAATCTCTCACTGAGTTCAACCTTTGCACTGTTTTCATTTTCCTCCTATTTTCATGCTTTGTCTGGAGGAGAAGTCTTTGCTTCTGAACTCACAAACTAAACCATAATGGGAATATTGGCTGTAGACTTCTCCTAATTAACTCTCTGCCTGGAGGAATGCACTATTTATTATTCTTCAAAAAATCCCATCATTATGGAGGGATAATAATTATTATTTTAAATGGAGTACTACCTAGAAGACTCCTGATTTCAAAAAAAAAAAAAAAACCCACAATCTTGGGGGTAGCTCCCGTTTTTTCACAGCTAGTAATCTCCATCCTATTTCATCTTCATGAAAAAAGGATGAAAAAAGGGAAGGATCAACGATATCTGGTGTTCACCTGGTGGAATAATATTTGTAGTTCCTCCTGCCACGGGTTTTTGTGGGTTCTGTTTAGGGTTCCTCTGTAAGTGTGGATACTTTGGGGTTATTAGCTGTCTTTTCCAATTTTAACACTGCAAACTCTATGCTGTTAAATCCCTTAATTACTGGTGAACCACAATGAGCAGTCACCCTACTGCCCATCATCATTTTGAACCAGTAGAAGGCACACAGCTCTCTTGCAGAGACATTCAACTTCCTCATAGGTAACTGGAATGACTTGAAAGTAACTAGCAATGAAGTGATCTACCTCTTGGTTATGAGGATGTGGTTCTTTTACTGGCAATTAAACTAATTCTATCTTTTTCTTACATTTTCATCCTGATTTATAAAGACACAGGCATAATGTACTTCTGGTCCAGGTTGTGATTTGTATCTCTCAATATTTTATAAGATGTGGGCAGTATAACTAAATGAAAAACGGAAGTAAACATTATATGCCCTGTACTCTTAGAGTTTTTATATAATAAACATGAACATGGTAAGAAAGCAAAAGAAAAAAATCTTCATCCCTGCAGCCTGTTATAACAACGGCAAATTTACTAATTTTCTTTCCAGGGTTCTCACACATCGGGCTTTGTGTACATATCCTTGGCACCCTGTATATGTCATTTTGCTTTTTTACTTAGTTCTATATTTTTTCTATCTTGGTTGTATTTTTTTCTCTGACTCAATTGTAATAATTTGTTTCCATGTTTTCCACTGGATTATAAGAAAAACTTCCCTCCTTTCAGGAAAAAAAAAAAAGCATTCCTATGCTATTTCTGCTGTCCTTATGCTTCCTCCTCAAGACTGACTTGATTTTAAAATTATACATACTTTGAGAAACAGAAATTACAAAATTTGGGAGGATAAGCTTTCTTCTTCCACCCAAATACAAGCCAAAAAAGGAGCTTTTCTTAAAAAATATATACTATATCTATTTCTCATTACTTAAGCTTTGTAGAGGAGCTGTTAGGTCTTATTCTCTGCTTATGATCTCCTGCCTCCTAATTCAAAGTAGAGAGAGTTTACTTGCCTTTCCAAAAATAGTAAAGATTTCTCTATGAAAAGCTATGAAATACATGACAGTAGAATTTTTAGTGAAGTCTCTGGTTGTTTTGTCTTTGTTGTTCAAACAATAGACTTCTGAGTCAGAACAGAGACTTCTGCCTTTTCAGCCTAATAAACATTAAAATGACATGGATGGAATAAATTCGAGATTCCTATCCTTTCCGAGCTGAATTTTCAGTGATCCATGGGAACATTCTTCTGATTACGAACTTGACTCAGAGAATGCCAGATATCCAAAGACGAAAAGAATAATCATGAGGACCAGGTTATCTTAGAGGGTGCTAGATTAAAAAAAATAATAATAAAAAGCAAACAAAAAGCCAATGAAATCTTTGTTTCTTTAGTATAACACAGCACTCCAAGTCTATTGAAGTCAGTGTGTGTATTTTTCTCCTTTTAAAAAATTCTCTCTCCTCCTCACAAATCAATTTACTGCTTGACAAATAAACACATAATACATAAAGCCAACGTTCAGGTTGGTATAATTGAAGAGAAAGCATGAGTTTATTGTCAAGAGACCACGTTTCGCCTACACAGCCTCCCAGCGGTGAAAAGCTGTTTACAATGTTTGATGTATGACCCATTACATCTGCTGCATTGTGAGAGGATGAAGATATGGTCAGCTGGGAGCAAAAGGAAAGTGCAGGAATCCAGATCCTCATGCATCTTTTCCCACTTGGGTTTCATTTCTTTCATGCAATCTTGACAAAATGAAGAACTGATTTGCTCTGATAAAAAACATTTCAGGAGCCGAGTGTTTGGCCTCACTGTTAAGATGCCTGTGTTCCACACTGGAGTCCTTGGGTTCAGTTTGTGGCTCTGACCCCTGACGCCTCCTTCCTGTTAATGCAGACCCTGGAAATCAGCAGAGAGGGTCCATGTGTTTAGGTTCCTGCCACCCATTTGGGAGATGTGCATAGCATTCCTGGCTCCTGGCTTCTGCTTCCTAGCTGCCTTGGCCACTGGGACAGTTGTGGATATTTGGAAACTAAATCAATATATGGAAATTTTGTCTCTCTGCCACTCAAATTAAAAATAGTTTTCAGTGTATAAAGACATTGTAATTATTTTACCAAAATGCTATTGACTTGTATTTTCTATGCTATTCCTATAAACAATTTAAATAACTAGTCACATTACAATATCAAAATAATATTTCACACAATCACACAGATTTTTAAGCATCTCTGTTATAAAGTAGTTTTCTGTGCTATGTAGCTTTAGAGGACTTCTCTGTGGAAGTAAAGAGAAAATAAATGTCTGAAACTGAAAAACCTTTTCTGTAACAGGAGGTTTTCTGAAACAGAGCATTGCCTTACAAAGTCATACATTTTTCTTTCCTTTAAAAAAATTAAAGAAAAAATTCATGAGGCCAGCATTGTAGCATGGTGGGTAAAACCGCCCCCTTGTGATACCAGCATCCCACATGCGTGCCAGTTTGAGGCTTGCGTCCCCGTTGTTCCACTTCTGATCTAGCTTTCAGCTGATGTGCCTAGCAAGGCAGCAGAGGGTGCTTAGGCCCCTGCACCCATGTGGGAGACCTGAGGAAGCCCCTAGGTCTTGGCTTCAGACTGGCTCAGCTCTAGCCATTGTGGTCATTTGTGGAGTGAACCAGGGGATGGAAGATCTGTCTCTCCCTCTCTCTCTGTATATAACTTTGCCTTTCAAATAAATGAATAAATCTTAAACATTTATTTATATAAAAGTTTAAAAGGCAGAGTGATACAAGAATGGGCAAGACAGAGAGAGAAAGAGAGAGGAAGAGAGAGAGAGAAATGAGCAAGCGAGAGAGACTAACAAACTTCTCCCTTCCACTGATTCATTGGGTCAAGACAGAGCCAGTAACTATGAACATAATCTGGTCTCTCACATGGGTGGCAGGGACCCATTGCCTGCTGCCTCCCAAGGTGGGAATTAGCAGGTAGTTAGAATTGGGAGAGGAGTCAGGACTTGAATCCAAGCACTCTAATATGAGATGCTGGCATCTCAAGCAGCTTCTCAATCTGTGTCCTATGTCTACTTCAAAATTGTAAATTTTCTCTCAAATGTCTGAGCGAAGCTGTAGTCCATTTGACTGGAATGACCGTGAGGGGATGTCTCTGGATGCTCCAGGATCAAACTAGATGTGCTCAGATGCCCCTTCCAAAACTAATAAGCTAACATTCCCACTAAGGATTCCATAACAGATATCTTACTATAGTTCTATGTGATATCCAATCAACCTGCCACCAGTATAACTTTAAAATTTGAAAATGACTTTGGCTGCTTCTGTAGAGGTAGATGTGAGGATGTTAACCTCTTTTAAATGTAGCAAGTGCTATGTTTTTTCTCGAACATTGTCTTTGCCATTGTACTGTATGGTTCTAATATATATATTTTAAAGAAAACCTGTCTGGAGCTTTTAAATAATTCATGTTCTTTTTCATTATAAAACCAAAAAGTCAATTTAAAAAGTTAGTAAAATTTTTATGAAAGCTGGAGACTATAATAACTTTGACTTTTTAAGGAGTGAAGCCAGCAATGCTACTTCCTTATATACCTCTTTTCAATAAAAACCAATTTAAAAATTTACATTTTTCAAGGAGGCATGATTCTTATAAACAAAACTTCTGTATGCATCAACGTGTGCCATGGCAGATGCCTGTCACTCACATCACTGTCATGCCGCAAGCTACCCTGATACAATCAGAAAGGAAAATAGAGTTAGTTAGATGGGTTTCCAGAATGATGCCTGCATGAGTGACAGATGTTTGTGCTCTAACCGTGTTATGTGCACTCAATTTTTATTATAGAACAATTGCTTCTAATAACTTTTATGTTCATGATCAATGTGTCATAAATTCACCTGGATTTCAAAAGTGACCTAAGAAATCTAAATTGTTCTTCAATTGTTTTCTCTCAATATATTAAATAATAATAATGAAGTAACTTATTTGAGCATGTATTGCACTGTGGATTCTGACAACATGTGAGATCTCAAATATGTGGGCTAAGTCTTCCTGGTTCACGGAAGATCTGACCTTATGCCCAGGATAATTATCAATCACCAGCTACACAGCACTGTCTGTTGTAAGTGGGCAGTGTGATGAATAACAGCAATTCAAGCATGATGGGAAAGCTGCGATCTTTATTGACTAAGTGAACTGGTGACTCTCCCTTTTCATGTTGTTTCTCCTCAATTTGTGCTGCTTTCGGTTATTGATACAGTCTATTACAGTTTCGGTTGTGATATCATTCCCCATTATATGAACTTCATAACAACTGTCAGGCGAAGCAAGCAACGTTCATTTATTCCGCCCAAATACTTCTAGCCTACTATAGTGTTCATCTATTTCATGCATCTAAAAGCTGAAGACAACTGCTGATCTATGTTTAAAAGTCATTTCATTTACCTATACAACAGGTTTTGCACCCTCATATTTATAAATATGTCTTCTAATTATACCATTGGCATTCATTTTTTCTTTCTTCATTCCCGATTTCTTAACAATAACACTCAGCATAATCACCTTTTTAGCTAAAGGAAAAAAAAAAAACAGGCAAAATATTATTTAGGAAACATGTACATTTGTTGATTGTCTTGGAAATCAGCTGTTGCTTCATTTTTAATCATTTTATCTTCAACAAGCTATTCATACTTACATATAAACATATATGCTTACTGCACTACTAGAAACAGATATGATTTAAACTAAATGTCTTCCTATATCTAGTCTGAAATGCCAGATGTTAATCAGCCAGAAGAAACATATCCTAGTCAGTAAGAGCATAGGCAGATGGTATCAAACTGTTCAACTTTAACTTTTAATAAATAAATTATTAGCTATATAATATGAAGGGCAGATTAAGCATTTAGTGCTTCAATTCATCATTTTTAAAAAGAGTTCTTGGGAAATCATATGTATTAACTCATGTTATTCTTTCTAAGACAGTTTCTGTATCATAAAAGATTACTCAACTACCACTAACTATTATTATTAATTATTATAGTGAAGATATCAAAAACAGGCAACTGGTTAAATGTATCATCTTCATACCCTGGGCATTTAAACATGGAACTGGATGAGTTCCCAGGGGAAGTGGGGTGGAATGAAGTTTCAGCTTCTGGTCAGAGCCATACTTAGAAGTACTTAGCTAGTGAGACTGAGAAGCAGCTAAGATGAGAACAGAGGAAACAAGGTGAAGACAGTATTGTGAAAACGAATGCATATTCAGCTATTGCTAATGCCAACTGAAGGTGCCACTATGGGTAAGAATTCTTATTCACAGATTCATGGAGAGAAGAAATGAAAAGAAATGACAAGGGGGAAGGTGAATAGAGGCAACAGGTTTGTGGAGATTTTCTCTACAGGAAGGCTGAGGAATGTGGCAATTGCTAAAAGGGAACAGGAGCATATAAAAACTTCCTTTTAAGTTGAGATACATGACAGTGTGTTTATTTGCTAATAGAAATTATCCCATAGATATCAAAACTTATGATTACATAAATGAGAGACTTAGATATGAGAGTTATATCCTTACAAAGGTAAAAAGAGCTGGGGTTATAATGTTCCAATTGACTACCTAATATCATTTTTATGTTCATTTTCTCCACAGCCCCTCAAATAGCTCCATTGAAAGCAAATATATTTGTAACTGTTGTTCTACTAGAATAGAGCTACATGATGGCCATGTAATAGACACTAATAGTAAATAACAAATATGCATTAAAGAAAAAAAAAAGAATAAATGTAGTAGTATTGCTTGTCTTAGAGAAGAACATAAGCACTTACTTGTAAGCAGGAGAGAAGGAAGGTTTATTGGAAAAAGATGGGTATAAGATATGTGCTGATAAAAAGACATGGATGTTTCTGTTAGATTACTGCTACTCAATGATGATCTAAAATATGCAAAATTAACTTCAAATGGAAAAGAAAGATAAAATTTAGGGAAATTTTGCTAATGGCAACACAGAATTACTGAGATAGACAATAGCAGATGATTATGTTTCTTTTTTTTTAAGGATTTATTTTATTTATTTGAAAAACAGAGTTACCGAGAGAGGTAGAGACACAGAGAGAGGTCTTCCATCTGCTGATTCACTCCTCAGATGGCTGCAATGGCTGGAGCTGTGCCGATCCAAAGCCAGGAGCCAGGAGCTTCTTCCAGGTCTCCCACATGGGTACAGGGGCCCAAGGACTTGGGCCATCTTCTACTGCTTTCCCAGGCCATCAGCAGAGAGCTGGATCGGAAGACAAGCAGCCAGGACTAGAACCGGCACCCATATAGGATGCCGTCGCTTCAGGCCAGGGCTTTAACCTGCTGCACCACAGTGCCTGCCCCAAGATTGTGTTACTTAAATGGCTAGAGATTTGACATCTGACATGAATTCTAGAAAGAGAAAACAGAAAAAGATACGCGAAAAATTATCAAGTAAGTATAGGAATAAGTGAATTAAATAGGATTAACATGAAAAATTATCATTAAATTTTCATAATAAAAAAAATGAAGGAAAAAGCCTCAAAGTTTGCAGAGAGAAAAAAAGAAGACAGTTCTCATACTGTTCCCATATAACCAGGATATTCTCAGAAATATTGGAGCTAGAAGACAAAAAGTAATGATTTCAGAATCCTAATATGAAATTAGAATTCTCTTTCAAAATTCATCAATACACTGTGAAGAAGCAATAAAGATGTTATCAGATATTCAATTCCTCAAAAACTTTACCATTGCTTTACTTTTCCTGTGCACTTTATCAGGAATCTACCACACGGAAATTTAAACAAGAAAAAAACAAAGCAGAAGATCACAAGATGGAGAGGTCAGCATGAAAAACACACAATAATGACTGAACAGAAAAATTCCAGGACAAAGCCTCTCTGGTTGACCAAAAGAATGGCTCATTTACATTGAGTAGGAAAATGTGAAGTTTCAGGAATAAGAGTTCTACAAATAAATTCAAGTGATACATTATATAAGACATATGTACATTTCAAAAATTGTACTTAACTGCTACTAGAATTAATAGGATGAACTGATTACTATAGAATTAACTATGCCAGCAAAATTCAGCAATTTTTATTTTATTTTTTTTTTGACAGGCAGGAGTGGACAGTGAGAGAGAGAGACAGAGAGAAAGGTCTTCCTTTTGCCGTTGGTTCACCCTCCAATGGCTGCCACGGCCGGCGCGCTGCAACCAGCGCACTGCGCTGATCCGATGGCAGGAGCCAGGTACTTATCCTGGTCTCCCATGGGGTGCAGGGCCCAAGGACTTGGGCCATCCTCCACTGCACTCCCGGGCCACAAATTCAGCAATTTTTAACAATAGAAACTCTACCAATCATATAGGAAACCAAAAATAATAAGCCACGCGTACCAGCTGTGCATTATTTGTATATATTTAAAATAGTATGAACATTAAGTAACTATTTAAATTAAAGGCTACATTAGGACAACAGATGAGGGAAAAAAATCCAGGATGGGAATAGCAGTATAAGAGAAATAAGTCTCTATCTACCGCAATGGCATAAAATTCTGCCCTTTGGAGAGCAGCCAATGCAGGTGAGAGGAATGCAGCCAAGATTATTCCTTTATGTGTACCTGAAGCATATATTATTTCTATAAATATATCTTCAATATGCAACTACTCATTTATTTCAGTGCCTGTATACATGGGTGTGGCTAGCTCTCCATGTGTTGATGAAGACTGGAAATACGTTTTTCATATTTTCACAGTAGACATACTTGAACGTATTTAAAATTCATAATTTATTAGTAATCAGACCAAAGATACATAAAATTGTATCAAAGATTACACCTAGAAAACACATATATGGACACATACTTGCACATACATAGTTGTACACATCATGTGCAATTAAATTCATGCAAGATTTCATTGCTGTTGCTTTAACCTTGTTATCCAACAAGTTAACTACCAGTTGACAGTAGTAAATGAGTAGAGAATTATTGGTAATTTAATGGCTATTTTAAGTTTCCAGTGTTTGCACCTTTTGTATTGATAGTAGATAGAGGAGTGGTGATTAAATATAGTGACTTTTTAAAATAGAAGTAAAAATTTTAGCTTTAAAATTGTATGAGTTTGGGCCGGCGCCATGGCTCAATAGGCTAATCCTCCGCCTAGCGGCACCTGCACACTGGGTTCTAGTCCCGGTCGGGGCACCGGATTCTGTCCTGGTTGCTCCTCTTCCAGTCCAGCTCTCTGCTGTGGCCAGGGAGTGCAGTGGAGGATGGCCCAAGTCCTTGGGCCCTGCACCCTCATGGGATTCCAGGAGAGGCACCTGGCTCCTGGCTTCGGATCAGCACAGTGCGCTGGCCGCAGCGGCCATTGGGGAGCGAACCAACTGCAAAGGAAGACCTTTCGCTCTGTCTCTCTCACTGTCCACTTTGCCTGTAAAAAAAAAAAAAAAAAGTATGAATTTTATAAATATGCTAATATATTCTATCAATCTTTAGAATATGGAGAATTTTCAACATTACAGAATATTTTTTCATGTCCTATTCCAGTTAATTTTCACTCTCCCAAAGGCAAACACTATTCTCATTTAGAAAAGGGGAGGGCATGGTTTTGATTGTCATGCTAAAGAAAGGAATCAGTACATACTCTTTTACATCTAATTTCTTTCATTCAAACAATTAGGGTCAAATTAGCCAAAGGTGTTGTATGCAACAGATAAAGAAATATTCTGCTCTGATTCCTCTTCAAAGAAGAGTTCCCTCTTCAGCTTCAAAATCTGGTTATGATAGCCTAGGAATTCTTCAGGATCCACCTCTGTTTTTAGTCACAGTTTTACTTTCGTTGTAAGCAACCTCCAATAAATGACACATCAAGGCAGAAGTTAGGCGAGGTCAGGCTTCAGGAGTTCTCCAGTCTTTACGAAGCTGTCTCGGTATAAGAGCCTTAGTATTTATTTATGCTTAGTGCATCGCTTCTTTTCCTGGTCATCTTCACGCAGAATTTTCCTATTGAGGTATCAGGGACCGTCAGCACTACGTGACACCATAAGGGATACTGACCAATCACAGCCACTGTTCCTCTTCTCTTCCTGTGTTACTCTTGTCAGTCCATTTTGAACTGCTCTAACTACCATGGACCGTAATAACAGATATCTAATAGTTCTAGAAGCTGAGATGTCCAAGATCAGGGTTCTGGCATGTAGTTGGAGCCTCTCAATGTTTCCTCAGGTAACAGGAAGCAGAAGAACAAAAAAGAGTAATCCCATTGCTGCAAATCCTGAAGGGCGGGCGTCATCAATTTATTCATGAGGGTAGAGATCTCAGAACTAGACTAGGTTCCACCTGCTAGCACTATCTCACCGGGGAGTGTTCCCAACACCCATATTTTCAGATACTCGATAGTCACATTACTCTTTGCTCTCCTAATCCTCAATATTTGTTTCCTAGGAGACCTAACCTCTGAGATCAGATATACTAATAGTTGATCAATACTTGTGATTGTGATTGCAAGAACATATCATCATGTTTCCATGTTCTTGAAATTTGGGGTGTTATTTGTAATTTTTGGTTGTTAATGAGTACAGTTACTCTAAGCATTCAAGCTTATGTCTCTTTTAATGGACTTAAGTGTTTAATACTTTTAGGAGCAGAATTGCTCGACATATGGTAGCCACACATTTAATTCATGCAGAACTGCTATTTTTTAAGTCATTGCATAATTTTACATTTCCACCAGCAATTTGGGAATGTCCGAGTTGCACTATAATCTCATCAAATTGGTTGTTGAGAATACAAATTTTAGCTATTCTAGTTGATGTACAGTGACATTATATGATTTTTGATTTGTATTTTCTTTTTTTTATATAACTTTTTCATGTGTTTGTTCATCACTTTGTATTCTTTTGTGAAATGTTTTCTGTAACCTTTGCATTCTCTGTTGGGTTGTTTGTCTTATCATTGACTTGTATATATAAATCTTGTACAGATTTTTATCGTGTGTATATTGTCTCCTTGTGTGTAGCTTACTTACTCATTTTTTCTTACAGGTCTCTTTTCTCAGATTTAAAAAAATGATGAAAATATTTTGTCATTGTTTTTCATTAAAGATTATAGTTTCTGGTGGACTCTTGAAGAAATTTTGCTGACCCACTGGTTGCAAAGATACTCTCCTATATTTTCTTCTACAAGAAGCTTTACAGTATTGGCTTTTACTTTTAGCTTGTGATCCCTCTCAAATGGATTTTTGTTTATGAAGAGAGGTGGTGTCTTGATATAATTTTTTCTAAAAATTTATCTATTTTCGTCAGTAACACTTGTTGAGAAAATTTTTCTTTCTCTGGTAACTTGCTTTCTCACCTTTACCAAAACCCAATTTTGGTCTGTTTTTGGACTCTACACAACTCCTCTGACCTATTTGCCTATCCTTAAACCTATACCACAATGCCTTATTACTGTAACTTCATAGCAAGCCTTGGAACCAAAAAGTGTTAAGTCTTCCAACTATATTTTTCTTTCAAAAAATATTTTGACTATTCTAGATCATTTGCATTTCCACATGAATCTTAGAATCAGCTTGTCGATTTCTATACAGAAGTAGTTATTAATTGCTAGTGCCTGTATGATTGTGGGGATGAAATTGAGAGAAATTAGTATCTTGATTATAGTGTACCTTCCAGTTTGTGAGTATGGCATATCTCTTCATTTATTTAGGTTTCTAATTCTTCCAAATGACATTTTGTAATTTTAAGTACAGACGTCTTCCCTGTATTCTGTCGAATTTACTCCCAAATGTTTTATGATTCTGATGCTATTGCAAATGCTACTTCTCAAATTTAATTTTCTAAATTTATGCTGCAAGTATATGGAAATATAATTGTTGGAATATTGCCTTGCTAAATTCACTTTTTATTTCTGGTAGTTTTATTGTAGAATTCTTAAAATTTTATGTGTAAAATAGCAGCATGGTATTTGTAAAAAAAAAAAAAAGATAATTTAATTCCAGTGCATTATTGAACAAAGTATAGCAGTTGGTATTTTTGCTTTGTCCTTTATCTTAGAGGAGAAACACTTAGTATTTTAATATTATAATATATATGTGATATTAGCTGAAATTTTTCAAAGAATGCTTTTACCAGCTGCAGGAAATTTGTAATTTGTGGAAGTCATTTTAAAACAAAAATTAGGTTACTATATTTGGTTAAATATATTTCTATTTATTAATAGATTTGATGAGATATAATCCACATACGGAAAATTCACCATTTTAAAGTATATGGCTCTATAGGTTTTAGTATATTTATGACATTGTGCCTTCAATCATCATGGCTTTCTAATTTTAGAATATTTTCATAACCCTTGTTGGAAATCCTGTCCTCATTTAAAGTCATTGCTTCAACTAGGACTTCTAATACAAT